TTGCATGCAATTCAGCCTGGTTTTATTAGAGATTGAGAGTGGTCTGTGATCAGGAAAAACAAAACAATGTCTCTGACTTCAGTTGTATACTGCTGTGGCCTCATATGACCAATCAATCTCTGAAAGAGCAGAAATTTGATTTTACAAGACTCTTGAAATTCAGCAGAGTGACTTTACTGTTATGTTATGTAAAGTATTTTGTAACAAGAAGGAGCAAGGAAAGAAGAACCACAAGACCTGACTTTTAAAGTCAAACCTGACACAGCTGTAGTGTGTGACTTTTGGCATAATCTTCAAAGTGCAAAAGCAGTAAGAGCTTCAGGGATGCAAGAGCTTTGAAAAAGGCTAGTGGTCCCTGTGCCATAGTGTCTCTGTCTACAGAATGTGAATAATAATAATGTGGTTTAGTTCACAGGGACCTTCTATATAAATTATTTTTCTTTGCTTTGAGAGCCTCAGATATTAAAATATTATCATAAAAAATCCCTTTTTCTCTCCTTCCACCTCTCTAATAGTGTATTCTGTAAAAAAGGAAACTTGATTGTGTAACCAGTTTGAATGGGCTTCAGATCATGCCCCCATTCTTGCTTACTTTTTTCTGCCATGACCATTTACTCATCATACTGAGCACAATCCCATTCTGCTTGAGAACAACAATGACATGCATCTAAATATTTCCAAGGGAAAATTTCCCTTGAAATGCATCCTTCTGTCCTTGTAAATTCGTAACTGATTTGTCATAACTGGTATTATAAAGATGTTAGTGGGTGTTTATACTGAGATTCCAGTAGCTGACTTGTGAATATGTTGAGCTGGGAGAAGGCTGGAGGAACAAAGGGTGCAAAAGAGGGAAGATGGATTACATGAGAGACAGGGAAGAGAGGTATATGTCAGAGGGCAGATTAAATCTCAAAAACTTTCAATGGCAAACTTTCTCTTCTCCTTTATAGTCTACAATCTGATTTTATAATCTACATCCTGATTTAGGAGGACAGGGCATAAGATTGTGTTGCTACATCCAGGCTCTAGTCATCACAGGCAATTATACACATTTAGCTAAACATATATGATCCCAGTGAGACTGCCTAAATTTAACTGAGGACTTCTCACTGATCAAGAATTTGGAAGGAACTGTACACTCACAGTGAGAGCCAGGAGAAAGCAGAGACACTCAGCATGTTGAAAAGATAAGTCTGAGCATAAGACGTGACTGTACAACCATTCTTGATGTCTGTGAGAACTTTGTCCTGCAGGTCGACTTATGGGAGAGTCCGTGAGACGATGTCTGCACTGTCACACTCAGCAGAGTGACAAAATGATCAATGGCATAATTGATCTCAGAACAATGTAAAAAATCATTAGGACTCTAGCTAGTACGGACTTAAACTAATGCAAATTGCATGGATAGAATGAGGCACAGAGAAGATAATTGCAGATTTTCAGAAGTAAGCCTTCTAAAACTTAGTTAAGTAAATGTTCTTCATGTTTTGTTAACAAGCCAGACCAACATCTAGACAGAAGCATCACATTTTAGCTACTAAACTGTAGGATGTGATAGAGAAGACTCAATTTTGGGAGATGTCTCTCTAAAATGATCCAAGTAATGACTTGGTTTGGTTCTATTGATCAACTAGTGATTGCAAATCAAAATAATGTAAAAATGCTCTAATTATTAGTTTCATCAGTTCTTACGTCTTTCATTTGTTGTTGTAACATGGATTAGAAGAAAATCTTAGTTTTTTGAAAAAATTCCCCCTCCTTTGAAGGTGTCATTGTGATTTTTTCTTGTAAATTGAAAAGCCTTCTCTTGTCAAGCATTAGGCTTCTAATATTCACTTTTATAAGAGCACTAAAATTGCCACCTGTGTTCTGTCAGTAGCTGCCAAAGCTCTCATCACTTCCCTTATCACCTTACTGGATGGTTCTTAAAGGCAATAGTGTCATTTGCACCAGTGTGACTTTTGTACTGTGCACACGTATGTGTAATACCAGAATATCATAGACCTGAAGGGTGAAGCACTTCCATAAAGGTCCTATGGGACAAATTGATCCTGAAGCCTTCTGATCGGTGTGCCGTTTCTGTTAAGAGGATTTACAGGACAAGGAGGCTATATGTGCTGGAGGAAGTTGTAGGATGTATTTGAGATGAGGTGGAACGCTACCATATAGCATAAGTGTTGCCATGGAAAAATGAGTAAAGTCATATGGTGAAAAGAAAATACATCTGCTTGGGAAATTTGCCATAGCATGGGGAAAAAAATAAAAGTTGACTTTTAACTAAAACAAGATCCAGTGGAGAAGATGTTTAGGTCAATTTCAGATGCCATAACTTGGCTGCTTTCACTCCAGCACTGGCCAGCCCTGTCACATTACTATTCAAAATATTTTCAAGATCGTGGCTTGTTGAATCGAGTCCTGAAGTGCAGCCAGGTGGCGTAGATCAATGGGAAAGGGCAGCAGCACAAGAAAAAGTCACGGAGTGGGGGATAGAGATGGAATATGGCTCTCTGGCTTGGTGCCATTCATCTCGGGCAGAGCAATGGAGTGGGGCATATCTGCACCCTCACCGAGATGTGTTTTATCTCTCCCAAAGTGTCACAGGCCCTTTGCCAGGTCTGCCAAACCAGCCTCACTCACTTGCATGTACTGACCATGTCTCCTCGTGCTTTGCATTGCTGTTGCACCTGATTATAGGCCCTAACAAATAAATAAATCGGACCACCCCAAAGACAAATCCTTAATCATGGTGACTCACACCATATTCTGGAGGTCAAACCCTCAAGTCATAGAAAGAAGTGCCATCATTCAGTATTTGCCATTGAAAACTTCCTCTCATTCCTCCACCAGGCACGCACAAAGACTGTTGTTCATATAAAGCCTTTTTGTGAAGGGTTCCTAGAAATGCACCAGTTGCATTGGGAAATTCCTGAGGTAGGGGTGAAAGTTAATGTTCTCCCTCTGAAACATATACAGTTGGATATTTTGCACGTGTGAAAGTTTCCAGAAACCTTTCAGTTCTTGTCCAGTTGCTTTTGAAGATCATATTGTAACATCTTTAGGGTGACAGGGCATGCCCGTGTACATCATATTGCCATGTACCGGAGGACTGAGAAAAAAGTAAATCTCTGCTTCTTCCTAAAAATCCAAGAAGAGGTCAAGAAGTACCTGTAATGGTAAGCTTTTTGTCAAGACAATGAGCAGGCTGCTCCCTTAAAGATGCTCATTGAGTTTCACTTCCATTGTTACAGCATTGCATTTGTTGTTGTTGGCCACATCCAGTCTCTGTCCTACTTAGATACAGGGAAAGCTAAGTTACATTTTGAAGATGCAATAGGAATTTCAAAATTGAATCTGAAGAGGTGTAGAAATAAAGAACGAAGATACTAAGTATCAGCCTTTGTTTCTTCACTGGCAGATCCTGGTGTCTTCTCTGAGATGTTTGCAATACATCTTAGCCAGCTGATGAAAGACTAGATCAGATCTTCTGAGACAATAGACCTTTAAATCTGAGCCCTTTACAAAAGAGTTTTTCTTCTGAATTTATTATGTTTTCTTCAAAGTATTTTAAATTCATGAAGTATAGGTGTAGGTTTTTTTTTTTCCCATTTTAGAGGCTACACGGCAGAATTGTATCGAAATTAATGGAGTTTAGTTATGATGACATAACAGTACATAAAACTGAATGTTAAGAAAGCCATCATATGCTAACCTGTAAGAAGTGAGAAATCTTCTATGGTTCCTTTTTGGAACTGGGAGATTCAGTTTTTTTTCTCCACTGATTATCTGTCCCTCCATCTCCTTATCTGTAAAGCTGGTGTTAGAGGATATTTTGACATACGTAGGGATATAACGGGAGGAAGGACTACACTTATCCTCAGGTTCAGTTCCCAGGTTGAAAAACTTATGTGGAAGAGATACTGATTTTAGAGAAACCCAGAGTACAGCTACTACACACGACACAGGCTACAGACTGTGGTTTAGCCAATGAAGGATAAAAGCTGTAGCTGAAGACTTCGAACCATAGTTGCAAGGTATTGAAGGAAGAGTAGGAGATGTGAAGGTGGAAAGGGCATCATCAGTGTCCTTGGTTTCTGTTCCACTGGAGGACCGGTTAAATAAAAGTTGCAGGTGATGAAAGGAAGGAAACAGAGTAGTCCTGTGCTATGGAGAGCTACGGGATATGATAAGAGGATTTGACCTGGGTGGACAGTTCCCTTCTATCCCTGAATCTGGATATCAAGTGAATTTTGAGGAGGTTCCCGTCTTCCAGGAACTGAAAAACTGATACTGATAGAAGCTTCTACAGATCCTGCTTACATATGGTGTCTGACCACCTCCAGAGAAAGGCAGCTACACAAATCACAACCACCCTTTCACGTGGTGGTCAGTGAAGCTGAATTACAAACCCCTTACCTACTGCAGATGATCCTGTAATGCAGTTTTTTAAATATATAATAGTGAACAAAAAGCAATCCAGTCTTCCAACCGTCCTTGAAAATACCAATGAGTCAGTTACCCAAGAACTCGCATTGCAGTTTAATTTAGATTAATTAATTGCTCTTGTGTTTGTTTAGACCACTGTGATCCCGGAGTGGCTAGTGAATTCTTAGTGGCTCCTTCTTTCTGCTTCTAAGCTCTTCAAGCAGGGACTGTTTATGACTGTCTGTATTTGATACCCAAAAGATGTGCATGCAAACCTCAGAAACTTGTAAGTGCTACTAGAATTTAATATTAGATTAAAAAAAATGCTATTTTAAAGTATTATTAAAAGATTTTACAGGAAACAGTGATTTCTAGACACTAGTCTTAGCAGCAGTTCTGTATGAATATTCAGATTTTATTCCCTATACACTTAGCTTTGTCCTCTGGTAAATATTGCTGGAGAAAAGAATTCGCTGATATTACTGCTTGCTTACTTGTGGCCTGAACTTATAATGCAGAGTCACAGTCTGGGTTTGTCTTTTTTTTCTTTTCTCCTTTTTTTTTCTTTGTCCTGACAGAAAGATTGCGGGATTTACTGCTTCTACATTCAAATCAAGACACAGAGATTCTGCCCATCTTTCAGCAGAGGCGCTATCCCAAGTAAGTAAGATTGTCTTCTTGGGAGAAATAAAGTCTTTGTCTATTTGCAGCGAGGGAGAGTGAAGCATTTATAGCACTGTACATGTTTTTGGTGTGAAGTCCTAAGGCAGAGCTGTCAGGGAGCCACACTTGCACTGAGATTTGCAGTCTTTCAGCGGTGTCAGGGAGAAGCAGACGTGCTTTGCAAGCATACCCAGCTGTCAGCAGGGAGGTGGTGGCAGAGTGCAGACGTTAAGTTGCCTGGATCAGTGTCTGGTGGAGCTTTGTTTCACTTGACACTGTGTTGACATAGGCAGATGTTTTGTCAGGCTAATTCCCACTCTTGTCTTGTGGGATTCCATGATTTATGGTGGCAAATTCTCTTGGATTTTAACAGGGTCCCTCTGGAAGCCTGCAAGGACTAGAAAAGATTTTTTTTTTCTGCCCTTTTTAGGGATATATGTACAGGCAAACCAAAAGAGTAGTGTTATGTGTTTAGTAGGGCTTGCATGTGTTGAGTATCCTGGACAAAACCTCTTCTTCTCCCAAGTGACATATCTGAATGAAACAATAAATGCTCCTTGTTAGAGCACTGGTTAAAAGAAACAGTCGCTTTCAGCTAAATCTTGAAAAGAGGCAGTGAAGGGGAAGGAAGGAAAAATAGCGCTCGCATTAACCATGACCAGAGTGAGCAGTGAAAGAGCGCTAGAGCAGGATGGACAGAGGGAGGAGAAGGAAAAAAGAATGTCTGGAGCCAATCCAGCAATGATAATGGAAATAAGCAAAGTTATTTATTTTATTATTGTTAGCAGGTTCCTGAAATGTATAAGAAGCCAGTGAAGCTAAGTGTTAAATACAACTCTTAAAATCTGATAATATGAATTTTTTTAAGAGCAGGCAAGAAATAGAGGGGCTGAGTGCTCAAAACCAGTCTCCTTCTCACTGTGAATACTTGAAAATAAAAGCACTCAAACACTGATTCTTAAAATGGTGAAACTTTGCATTGACTTCGAGGGAGACAGGATTTTATCCCCCTGAATTTTTTTTTTGCATTATCCATTGTCACTGGTTTACTGGCATACTATAGAAGTACAATATATGAGACTGTGGGAGACACCTTATGATGGACTGGTCTATTTGTTTCACTAGGACTTCCACGAATTAATATCTTTGCCCTCACTCTTTGGAGCACTGGAACAGTTACTTTTCCATAGTGATAAATGCTTTGCTTGGCTTAGATGTTTGCACTTATGGTATGGACACACTCAGGTTGGTCTGAGAAACTAGTTTATCATCCTTCCTCAAAGAACTTGCCATAAACCATTCCTAAAGTGTCTGACTTTCCATTTTTACATTCAGTTTATTGCTCGTATTCTTAGCAAGTACAGTCTACTAGCTGTAGGTACACATCATTGTCAGATTCATGGGTGCATGAGTGCCTATTGTCTTCTGTTCAATGGAAGCTTCAGCTCTGAAGATTGTGCAACAAATCCCTTGTAGTGTGGAGCACTGTTGCTCTTTGAAGTTATAGCGGCCTTGTATCGCAAAACGATGCATGTTTTCAGCCACGTTGCTTGGCAAGATTGACTGATGCCTCTAATAAACAAAATCAGCCAAACTTTGGCACTTAATTGAAAGAGATGCTTGGATATGTTCTTAAAAGATTTCTCTTCCTAGCATCATTAATTGGTGCAAATTTATGCTTGTTACAGAAATTTATAGTTTATTATAGCTTAGCGACATGGTTTAGTGATGGACTTGGCAGTGTTAGGCTAATGGTTGGACTTGATCTTAAAGGTCTTTTCCAATCTAAACCATTCTATGATTTAGAAACTGGTTGAAAACTATTGACATGTCCTAATTTCCCTAGGGGTTGTCTTTCAAGTGAAATACTTGTGTTAAGCGAGGTAGAAAACCTGTTCCATCTTCATAATATATTTTATCTTTTTCCTATGTCAGTTTTTTCCCTTCCTTATGCTCATTTTTGTTGAAAGGTCAGTTAGCAGAAAGGAAGATAATGAACAGGCAGATCTCATAAATCAATGTCCCTTCATTGACTTCAGCTGAGCAATGGCTGGCTGGACTACATAAGGGTCTGAGCAGTAAGGTTATTTTAATGAGACATTGTCATGGGGCACAAGCTGGAGCTTGTAATGCTTAAGGAAATCCTAAAAGTATGAGAGGTTAAAAGTAGAGAGAGAAATTTTAGTAATGACTTAACTGAATAGCTTGACTCAGAAGGGGTTAATAGGTAGAAAGCACAAAAGTTTGCATGTATTTAAAAGACGTATATCTAAAGGAAGGAGATTGGAAAGGAAGATGTTCGGCATCTCTCTGGATATTCAGAGTCGTAGTAATTAATATTAAAGGCTAAATGAGCAAACTATAATCCATCAATTTTTGAAATATAGAAACCTTCATGTTCCGGCTTGAATTATGTTCTTACACATTTATTATATTAAGACCTGAACTCCTTCCCAGGGAACAGCAGGATAATTTTGAGTACGTGCTTGTTCTCAGAGATGTCTGTGCACTGGAATGGCTGGGAGAAGTTTTCTAGAATATACATGCACATTGTTCTGGATTTACTGGGGTAAATGTGTCAAAGAAACATGATTTACATGCCTGGTTGATGAGGGGAGAAATGCAGGGTCTTTTTATGATTTTGTGTTTGCCTGAGCTTATTCTGCTGGTCTTGGCTTAGCCAAGAAGCAAATACCTACTCTGGCACGTGGAAGAGATTATAGAAAGGCCTGAGTTTACAAAGATTAAGGCTTTTAAAGCCACACTACGCATCACCTTGACTTCTGTGACTTACTACTGCGTGTCCACAAGTTGCGTGGCATCATGAGCACCAGTTCTCATTGTGGCCTGTGGGCTGAGGTGCACAACTCTGACAGCACATGGGAACAGCATCCATCCGGTCAGCCCAACCTGCAGTGTGCGTCCTCTCACTTTTCTTCACAAGGTTGCAGAGCAGAAGGAGCTTGGCTTTATCTTATGCTTCACTCACATGACTGTGTAACTGTGTCTTGGAAAAATTATGGAATATAGAAAGTCTACATAAAAGCCTACAATAGAGTTTCCTAATAAAATATACTGTACTGCACCAGTTACAGGTTACTGAACTAACAAGACCTGCCTAATCCAGGCAAATCTTTTTGATACCTCAAGTGGCTGTCAGAGGATGAAATGCATGGTTCAGAAATCAGACATCACTAGACTCCCCTCATCCACCTCAGCACGAAGCCCACCCATCCACAGAGAGAAATATTTTGAGGAGAAAGTCTGTCTGCTAGCTGACACGAAGCCATCAACATGTCCGTGAGGATTCACATTCCTGAAACTAGGAATAAACCTGCAGGCAAAGGGGCTGGGGTGCATAGGAGCCTCCAAGTGTAGCCGCCCAGGAAGAGCAAGCAAACTATATCACAGACATACTTGCAACTTGTTCCTTGTCTCCCTCACTCCATGAGCATGCTGAAGTCACTGAAGTGAGTTACACCGCTATCAGGCCTGTCAACAAACTAAACTTGTTGCAATGAGTCTTATTCCAACTCATCACTTTGACAATGAGCGTTAGGTCTCCTAGATCTCTTAAAAACCCTTTTAGAGTTTCACTCTTAGCACATTTCTGCAGGAGTTTTCCTCATGTTGGTTTCAAACTCATGCTTTCCTTGGTTACCCCCTTTGCCCATGTTTTTTTCCGGCTGTTTTATCACACGGATGCAGTCATAAAATGCAAGAACTGCTGAAGTACTGACACAGGCTACAGAGAATTTCTCTTGAAGAAGACACTGTTATGGTCATTAATTGGGCTGTAAGGATCAGCATGTGACAGGGTGGTTGGTACTAGCAACAGGAACCTAGGTT